GCAGTGCCAATGAATCGAGCCGATCGGAAAGGGCTCAGTCGTCGACGATTCGAGCCGCTCTGCGCTGGATGCGGTCAAGTGGAAGGAGCTGGCACTGGGGAGCCCCTGCCCAGAGATGGGAACAGTATTCCATGTGAGGCCGAACCTGCGCCTTGTAAAGTTGCAGGCGGTGTACCGGCATGAAATACTGTCCCGCTCTGCTGAGCACGCCAAGCTTTTTAGAGGCCAATTTAGCCTTCTCTTCCAAGTGACCACGAAACTGCACGTCACTCGATATGTCGCCATATTTTAAAGACTGGACCGTTGTCTAGTTGTTTGTCATTGTTTCAAATCATATATAAACACGGGCCGCCGACGATTCAAATACATACAGCATACATATAATAAAAGAGGATAAGGTTTGAATTTTAAGATTTACCTATGATGAACATGAGTTAAAAAATAAAATAAAATAGACCTATATTGTTTAATTTACTCTAGTCTCTTTGTTATCATATATCTTTGTCTCCACATTCCATCCCGTGGTTATCGTAGGAAGTGACTATGGGAAACCGCATAAAGTACTGAAGCTTATGAAACGTGAAAAATTGTGAAACGGCTTTTGATTTCACTGTTTTCCTAAAATATTTTAGATTTGAAGTGTATTTTGTAATATATTTTTTTTATAGGAGAGGGGGCAAACGAGCATGCGGCTCACCTGAAGGTAAGTGACTACCGCCGCCCATGAACAACTGCAACACCAGGGAGGGAATTGCAGATGCATTGCCGGCCTTTTAAAAAGGAGTACGCTCTTTTCTTGAAGGTCCCTAAGTCGTATCGGTCCGGAAAAATCGCTGATGGTAATCGATTCCACAAGGAAGTTGTGCGAGGTAGAAAACATCTTCTAAATCGCACAGTGGTGGACCGCCAATCATCCAGATGGTGTCAATGGTACCGGGAGTTCTGCCGCGATGTGCGTTCGTGAAATTTGGCGGCTGGGATTAATCCGAACAATTCCTCAGAGCACTCCCCATGGTAGATGCGAAAGAAAATGCAAAGGGATGCAACATCTCTTCGCAGTGCCAATGAATCGAGCCGATCGGAAAGGGCTCGGTCGTCGACGATTCGAGCCGCTCTGCACTGGATGCGGTCAAATGGAAGGAGCTGGCACTGGGGAGCCCCTGCCCAGAGATGGGAACAGTATTCCATGTGAGGCCGAACCTGCGCCTTGTAAAGTTGCAGGCGGTGTACCGGCATGAAATACTGTCCCGCTCTGCTGAGCACGCCAAGCTTTTTAGAGGCCAATTTGGCCTTCTCTTCCAAGTGACCACGAAACTGCACGTTACTCGATATGTCGCCATATTTTAAAGACTGGAACGTTGTCTAGTTGTTTGTCATTGTTTCAAATCATATATAAACACGGGCCGCCGACGATTCAAATACATACAGCATACATATAATAAAAGAGGATAAGGTTTGAATTTTAAGATTTACCTATGATGAACATGAGTTAAAAAATAAAATAAAATAGACCTATATTGTTTAATTTACTCTAGTCTCCTTTTAACATAACATAAACACTCACGCCTGTCCATATCCATATACCTACGCATACACGCTCGTCGGTTAAAGTTACTCTTGATTTGGCCCATTTTTAATATATCGCCAATTTGGTCGATATACTTTCGCCTAGGGCGACCCTTCCCGAATATGCCGTTCACCTCTGCAACATAAATTTGCTTTGTCACTCTTTCCTCATTCATTCTTTCTACATGGCCAAACCACCGAAGCATTCCTTTCTTAATCCTGGTCACAACATCATCTTGCAAACCACACTCTTCTCTTATTAAACAATTTCTCACTCTGTCATTCAGCTTCATCCCTAACATACTCCTTAATGACCGCATTTCTACAGCATTTATTCTACTCTCATGCTTCTTCTGCCACACCCAACTTTCACTACCGTACATTAAAGTAGGTACTAACACAGCATTGTGAATTGCCATACGTGCCTTTTTGGACACATTCTGACTTTTCACAATAGAGTGTAGAGCCCCATTCACTCTATTTCCTGCATTCACTCGTCGTTCTATATCCTTATCATATCTACCATCCCTGCTAAACACACATCCCAAATATACAAACTCATCTACTTGCTCTACGAACTCCCCTTATATTCTTATTTCACATATCGTTTTACTTTCTTCTCTTTCAAAAACCATAACTTTCGTCTTACTTGCGTTCACTTTCATTCCCTTTTCTTTTAATGTCCTGTTCATTAATCTAACCATCATTTACAACTCGGCCTCTTCGGACTTCAGATAATCCTATAATATGCCAGCGTAACTTGTCTATCTCTTCTTCCAGCTCCACGATCTTCTCGACAGTCCTCAGGGTGCGTGCGTTGTATGTTGCCAGGTCGAGTCGTTGTAGGTGGCAACCGAACTTCCACCGGAGATTCTTAGCACCCCCTGCCCCGCCGTTACCATGGTCGCCACCGTAGCCAGGAATAGCGGTGCCGCCGGGGACTGGGAGCCGTCTCTTTGTTACATTCATAGGGGGGTATATTCCATAGTTGCCACGCTTGGCGAGCAGGTTGGCAACCGCAGTTTTTTTTTTTATTGTATTTTTGCTGTTATCAGGAAGATGCTCCTGCCCATCTCCTGCCTGTTTCCCTTTGTCGCCTTTTACGACACCCACGGGAAGATATGGGGTAGTGGATATTCTTAACCGTCACTACATGGCGGAAGAACGTAAACGCCGTTAATCCTGCGCCTGATCTCTCTCTGGTCGTGTTGGATTACCGTGCCATAGGACTATGAGAGTGAGAAAATAAAAAGAGGGATTGTACCTGCGCATACACTCGGGTACTATATTTTCCGTTAAGACTGGGCACCGTGACCAAATTCGGTCTGGAGTATGTCATTATATCGGCACTAAAATTGTACATTTCCTTTGAAATTTACTATTATTGTATTATCCTGCGGCTTCACTTGAGTGGATTACGATAAAGAAACATTATCAGTCAATTTCTGAGCCCACATTATTTAAGTGAAACATTTATGGAATCACCTTGGTGTCTGTAACACGTTTTTCGCAGATACTATAATTATAAAACACTATGCTCGGAGTTTCTTTGCATGATAGGATTCGAAATAAAGATATCTGCAGTAGAATCAGACTAGCAATGAGCCTTGGAGTGGACTTGTAAAGAGCTGTACAACCTCAAAATACAAGGTTGTATGGGTTACCGAAAATACACAAACCAAATGCTCCACTACGTCCTATAGTAAGCCAGATCGATTCACCAACTTATAAGTTGGCTCAACACTTGGCAAAAATACTGTCACCACTAAGAGGACATACCAGAGCACACACAAAGGATTCATACCAATTTGTTAGTGAGATTAAAGACCTACATCTCGCTGACAATGAAACTATGGTCAGTTTTGATGTTCAGTCACTATTCACATGCCTACCTATTGAAGACTGCATCTCAATTGTTACTAGAAAGCTAGAAGATAACAACATGCCTACAGAATATGCAGTATTACTCAAACACTGCCTCACATCTGGCTATTTATTGTGGAAAGAAGAGTTCTACATGCAAGTAGACGGAGTGGCAATGGGCTCACCTGTATCTCCCGTAGTCGCCGACATATTCATGGAGGACTTTGAGGAGAAAGCCCTTCTTACTGCTCCTGTAAATCCAAGATTATACAAGCGGTACGTAGACGATACTTTCACAATTTTACCATCTGACAAAGTAACTGCATTTTTAAACCACCTTAATTCCATAAACCCTAAAATACAATTCACAATGGAGTTAGAGGCAAACAATACTTTAGCTTTTCTAGATGTTTTAGTCATCCGAAATCCTGATAACACTATTGGTCATACTGTGTACAGAAAAAATACCCATACCAACCGATATTTAAATGGTGAATCTCACCATCATCCTTCACAGTTAGCTACCGTGGGAAAATCTTTGTTTCAGAGAGCACGAGGGATCTGTGACAGAAAACATCTGGCCGCCGAGCTTCAGTACGTCGAGCAAGTACTGCAAGACAACAAGCTTCGGGTCCCGCGCCTACGTCACAGTGACCGAGTGAAGCCAGCCACAGTCGAGCGTGTGCCTGCTGTACTACCCTATGTCAGAGGAGTCACAGACAAGGTTGGCTACATCTTGAAGCGAGCTTCCATTAAAACGTACTTCAAGCCGCTGAAGAAGATTGGTCAATTTTTACCATCCGTCAAGTGTCATATCCCTCTACAAGATGCAGGAGTGTACAAGCTGGATTGTGAATGTGGTCTCTCGTACATAGGACAAACAAAAAGATCTATTAAAACCCGCGTTAAAGAACATATAGCTGACGTGAAGCACCGACGTATCGGGAAGTCTGCAGTTTGTGAACATGTTCAGGATCGTCCCCGTCATTACATTAGATTTGATAGACCACAAATCCTCGCAAAAGAACACCGATTCCTCCCAAGGATGATTCGCGAGGCTATTGAAATTAAAAAAACATCCTAATTTTAATAGAGAAGATGGATGGGTGCTGCCATCTGCTTGGGATCCCATAATTAATAAAATCAAATCCAAACCCAAGTATACCACTGCTAGACTTCAAGATACTGTAAGCTCATTCTGCGTAAATCGAACCAAAAATTAATATTAAAAAACTGAAGGTAGCCGGGCTAACTATGACAGCAGGACGTCAAACAACTCAGTCCCCCGTGACCACGGGTGCTGGAAAGCACCCGAAACGTCGGGAATATAAAAATAAGTTAATATACGCGATAAAATCCGTAAAATTAGTTTTATTTAAAAAAAACACTTAAGATTATTAATTTGGATTTTGCTTATTATTCGTTAATTTAAAATTGCAAACGTCGAAAAAAGCAAAAGAACGAAAATTTTATCCAATAAAGAAAAAAAGAAAATTTTTACAGGAAATAAACATTTTTGTACTTACCATTTTATTAATTTCTTTCATAAATACTTAAGAAAGGCTATATCATTGGCAACGACAATAGCCAAGATATTTGACAGTGTGCTTAACTCTATTCTAGAAAACCACTGTACGCTACATGATGGTCAGCACGGTTTTACGCGTGGTCTATCGACAGAAACAGCAATAATGAGTTTAAAGCATACTGTCAAATATTACTCGGACAGGCGCACACCGGTGTACGCCTGTTTCCTAGATCTGAGTAAAGCTTTCGATCTTGTCTCGTACGACATCATGTGGCGTAAGTTAGAAGGCGTAGGTTTACCTGACGGCTACACCGATTTGCTTAAATATTGGTATAGTAATCAGGCGAACTATGTGAGATGGGCAAATGAATATTCCGAGCCGTACAGGATGGAGTGCGGGGTGAGGCAAGGGGGGCTGACATCGCCGAGGCTCTTCAACCTGTATATGGACGCACTGATTCGAGAGCTCAGCAGCATGCGTGTCGGATGCCATATCGGCAAGGTCTGTGTGAATAATAACAGCTATGCGGACGATATGGTTCTGCTGGCACCCTCAGTTAGTGCGCTGAGAGCTTTACTCGGTGTTTGCGAAAAGTTTGCTGTCTCACATGGTTTACAATACAATACCAAAAAGTCACAGTTCATGGTGTTTAAGGCTGGCAGTAGATGTACTAGTGTTGTACCCCCTATAAAGCTCTATAACGAACCACTAAAAAGGGTCTATAGTTTTAAATATCTTGGATATATTTTGACTGACAGTCTTAAAGACGATGAAGACATTGAAAGAGAGCGTAGGGCACTGTCGGTCAGGGCGAATATGTTGGTGCATAGATTTGGTCGCTGCACTGACGCTGTCAAGATCACGCTTTTCAAAGCATATTGTACGTCATTTTATTCTTGCAGCCTATGGACCAACTACACCAAAAAAGGCCTATAGTGCCCTACGTACTCAATACAATAATGCATTTAGGGCGCTGTTGCGGCTGCCGCGCTACTGTAGCGCGTCTGCGATGTTTGCACTGGCGGGTGTGGATAGCTTTGATGCAATAATCAGAAAAAAGACCGCATCCTTGCTAAACAGAGTGCGCGGCAGCGGCCACAGTGTGCTGAGTGAGATTGCCGACAGTGGGGACTGTCCACTGATTAAACAAATGATCGCAAGGACTATGTCCTGTTTAATAATAAAGTATTGAGTATAAATTATATTACTAACATAGATGTAAGTTTTTCTTTACTAACAAATTCTATGGATCTTGTTGTCCGAAATAAATAATTTTTATTTTTATTTTTATTTTTATTTTTTTATTTTATTTTATTTTTTTATTTTATAATGTGGGCTATAATCAGTACTTAACTACTTCCAGTCTCCTTGGCATACTCCTAATCAAGTTATCAATTAAATCTTGAGAGATTGCATTCCATTATTCCTGTAATGCGTTTTAAAGATCTCTCAAATTACCGGGTCAGGATTTATTTTCTTAATTTGACTTCCAAGCTAATCCTATACATTAAATCAGATGAGCTCGCTGGCCAAACTATAGCATTGATTTCAACGTCTCGAAGGTATTCCACACCTACGGCCGCAATATGGTGGCGTGCATTACTGTGCATAAAAACTAACATATCTTCTATAAGAAGAAGAGAGTGAATATTTGTGGTTACTGTAAACCCCCGAACCTATTTGAGCTTTGTTCTCACCTCAGAAGAAGTTTAGGTCCAGTTTCTGAACACGCTGGTAATGATGAACCGATCTTTTCTGGCTAAATTTTTTCGTTTACGTCGGTCCAGTTAGCCGATACTCCTTGACAACTCGGTGGCTTACAAATTTTGATACTCATTGAATAAAACTATTTTTACGGATTTTATCGCGTTTAATTAACTTATTTTATATTCCCGACGTTTCGGTTGCTTTCCAGCAACCGTGGTCATGGGGGACTGAGGTGATTGACGTCCCGATGTCAAAGTTAACCCGGAGTACCTTCAGCTTTTTAATTATTAATTTTGGTCCGATCTATGCAGAATGAACTAACTGTGTCTTGAAGTCTTACAGTGGTATGCTTGGGTTTAGTTTTAATTTTATGAATTACAGGATCCCAAGCAGGTGGTAGTAGGTAGTAGACTTCCCGGAACGTTGGTGCTTCACGTCAGCTATGTGTTCTTTTACTTTTGTTGCAGAGAGCACGAGGGATCTGTGACAGCAAACACCTGGCCGCCGAGCTTCAGCACGTCAAGCAGGTTCTGCACGACAACAAGCTTTGGGTTCCGCGCCTACGTCACAGTGACCGAGTGAAGCCGGCCACATTCGAGCGTGTGCCTGCTGTACTACCATATGTCAGAGGTGTCACAGACAAGATTGGCTACATCTTGAAGCGAGCTTCTATTAGAACATTCTTCAAGCCGCCGAAGAAGATTAGTCAGTTCTTACCATCCGTCAAGTGCAATATTCCTCTACAAGATGCAGGAGTATACAAGCTTGATTGTGAGTGTGGTCTCTCATATATAGGGCAAACAAAACGATCAATAAAAACCCGCGTAAAAGAACACATAGCTGACGTGAAGCACCAACGTTCCGGGAAGTCTGCAGTTTGTGATCATATCCTAGACGGCCCCCGTCATTACATTAGATTTGATAAACCACAAGTCCTCGCGAAAGAACATCGATTCCTGCCAAGGATGATACGTGAGGCTATTGAAATTAAAAAACATCCTAATTTCAATAGAGAGGGAGGCTGGGTACTACCACCTGCTTGGGATCCTGTAATTCATAAAATTAAAACTAAACCCAAGCATACCACTGTAAGACTTCAAGACACAGTTAGTTTATTCTGCATAGATCGGACCAAAATTAATAATTAAAAAGCTGAAGGTACTCCGGGTTAACTTTGACATCGGGACGTCAATCACCTCAGTCCCCCGTGACCACGGTTGCTGGAAAGCAACCGAAACGTCGTGAATATAAAATAAGTTAATTAAACGCGATAAAATCCGTAAAAATAGTTTTATTCAATGTGTAGTGTTCGCGTAAATATAAGAAATCATTATGTAAACCAGTACGGACTGGAAATAGCAAATAAAATACGCCGACTAGAAGATCTCAAAACCAAGCGCGCAAGATACATAACAGCTTTAAACTTCTTGAAGAGATGCAGAGACTATAATCTCATTCCTACGTGTGTCAAGATATCTACTAAAAAAGACATTCGAGGAAGCGCTAAGATCTTAAATCAGGCAAGCAAAAAAAAATTGTTAATAACGGTGATTCAGCAAAAACGTACCGATCTATGTTTCATTAATAAAACCATAGACAAATCGTCCAGTGATCTAAAGACAGTTTTGTCGACATTTGATTATAAGAATTGCATGGAAACTTTAGACAAACGTGAAACAACTAAATACAATGAATGCGAAAATAAACATATAGATAAATACCAAAAACTAACAACCAAATCAAATGTCCAACGCCAATGTCAACGTAATAACGGAACGCAATCATTGACAACAGACGCGAGTAATAAACAACGTGCGGTCTATAACCTGTCAAAACAATCTCTAGACGACGCGACAATAAAAGTTTTGGCCAAAGGTATGAATTTCGCTATAAGACCGCAAAAAAAAAAATTCCGTATGAAAACATTATCTGTAGTGTTGAGGACTGTCTATATAAAAATAATATTGGTAAAGAAGATTTAGAGGCTATACGTCAAGACATTTCGTCCTTGTTACGTCGAAGCTCAGCGCCGAAATTAAATCTTCCCAAAGATGAATTTACTGCATTGAAAAACTTACGCAACAGACCAGATCTTACGATTCTCCGCGCAGATAAAGGTAATGCTACGGTTATAATGGATACGTCGGATTACAATTTTGAAATACAACAACTTTTATCGGATGAAAGTACGTACGTAAAGGTCAAAACAGACCCTACAACTAATACGCTTAAAACAACTAGCGATCTAATAAAGAAATACTCCGAGAAACTGAATCTAGACGTAAATTCGATAATACCTACGTGTGCCAAACCGCCGAAGTTGTATGGGTTACCAAAAATACACAAACCGAACGCTCCATTACGTCCAATAGTGAGTCAGATCGATTCGCCAACTTACAGATTGGCTCAACACTTAGCAAAAGTACTATCACCACTCAGAGGACATACAAGAGCACACACTAAGGATTCATACCATTTTGTCAGTGAGATAAAAGACCTATGTCTTACTGACAATGAAACTATGGTCAGTTTTGATGTTCAGTCTCTATTTACATGCCTACCTGTTGAAGACTGCATCTCAATTATAACTAGGAAACTAGAGGAAAACAACATGCCAGCAGAATATGCAGTATTACTCAGACATTGCCTTACATCTGGCTACCTATTGTGGAAGGAACAGTTTTACAAGCAAGTAGATGGTGTTGCGATGGGCTCACCGGTATCTCCCATTGTCGCCGATATTTTCATGGACGACTTTGAGGAGAAAGCCCTGCTTACTGCACCAGTAACTCCAAGTTTTTACAAGCGGTACGTAGACGATACTTTCACAATTTTACCATCAGACAAAGTAACTGCATTTTTAGAACATCTTAATTCCATAAACTCTAAAATTCAATTTACTATGGAGTTAGAGGCAAATAATTCTTTAGCTTTCCTAGATGTGTTAGTCATTCGAAATCCTAATAACACCATAGGTCACACTGTGTATAGAAAAAGACCCATACAAACCGATACTTAAACGGTGAATCCCACCATCACCCTTCACAGTTAGCTACCGTGGGCAAATCTTTGTTGCAGAGAGCACGAGGGATCTGTGACAGCAAACACCTGGCCGCCGAGCTTCAGCACGTCAAGCAGGTTCTGCACGACAACAAGCTTCGGGTTCCGCGCCTACGTCACAGTGACCGAGTGAAGCCGGCCACAGTCGAGCGTGTGCCTGCTGTACTACCATATGTCAGAGGTGTCACAGACAAGATTGGCTACATCTTGAAGCGAGCTTCTATTAGAACATTCTTCAAGCCGCCGAAGAAGATTAGTCAGTTCTTACCATCCGTCAAGTGCAATATTCCTCTACAAGATGCAGGAGTATACAAGCTTGATTGTGAGTGTGGTCTCTCATATATAGGGCAAACAAAACGATCAATAAAAACCCGCGTAAAAGAACACATAGCTGACGTGAAGCACCAACGTTCCGGGAAGTCTGCAGTTTGTGATCATATCCTAGACGGCCCCCGTCATTACATTAGATTTGATAAACCACAAGTCCTCGCGAAAGAACATCGATTCCTGCCAAGGATGATACGTGAGGCTATTGAAATTAAAAAACATCCTAATTTCAATAGAGAGGGAGGCTGGGTACTACCACCTGCTTGGGATCCTGTAATTCATAAAATTAAAACTAAACCCAAGCATACCACTGTAAGACTTCAAGACACAGTTAGTTCATTCTGCATAGATCGGACCAAAATTAATAATTAAAAAGCTGAAGGTACTCCGGGTTAACTTTGACATCGGGACATCAATCACCTCAGTCCCCCGTGACCACGGTTGCTGGAAAGCAACCGAAACGTCGGGAATATAAAATAAGTTAATTAAACGCGATAAAATCCGTAAAAATAGTTTTATTCAATGTGTAGTGTTCGCGTAAATATAAGAAATCATTAATTTTGATACTCGTAAAGTTTGAGCCACATGTTTGTAGGTGTTTGTAGGCCCAGCTTCAATTTTTGTAACCGTCCTAGTAACTTAAGTGGCGTTTAGATCTGGCATTCTCAGTTTATTTGCTACTGCAAATAAATACAACAGTTCACACGATAAACAAGGCAGTCAAGGAAAAAATTTAAACAAAACCTAAATTGAAACTCAAATTCAACAGTACACAATAATTACATAAAAACAAATGAAATTCGAAAAAATTAAACTTTGTTTTTTCTTAATTAGCATTTACAAAAGTTTGTTGCCAGTATGCACGAGAATTATAACACGAGAAATTAAAACTTTTTAGCGTCTTTTATTAACTTTTTTAGGCGTCCCTCTAAATTTTTCTAAGAGTATATACCTTTATATGAGTGTATCTATATAAAAGAATGACAAACAAACAAAAGATACACTTCCCCATTAATTCGTTAATATTTAGGATTAGACATTATAGCTGGCTATAATTAATTTTGAACATATAAAAGATTACTCTAACATCCGTTGTCG